CAACTGCCTTCGGCTCAGGTCATGATCCTGGAGTCCCGGGATCGAGTCCCGCATCGGGCTCCCTGCTTGGCAGGGCGTCTGCTTCTCCCTCTGACCCTCTCCCCTCTCATGTGCTCTCTCTCTCTCAGTCTCTCTCTCTCAAATAAATAAATAAAATCTTAAAAAAAAAAAGAAAATTATGTTTTTCCTATTTCAAATACTAAACTAACACAGGTTCGTACTTAGATAAACATGTTTTCAAGTCCTGAGTTGGCTAGTCATTTGTCATGTGGCCTGGGACAGCTACTAACACCTACTAACAAAGGATTCTGTTTGGTCTTGAGTGGAGGAAGTAGAAATGGTTCAGGTGGGATAATGTCGGTAAGGCTCTGACATTGATAGACACTCGTCCTGGGAATGCTTGCTTTTTTCTTACCCTATTCTAAGGCCAGCCCTGAGCAAACCTCAGGGAAGCAGGTTACTTTAGTATCTTAAAGGATTAGAATCATCATTGTACTTGTGTTTTATAAATAAGTTTTATTTTTATTTATTTTTTAAATGGTTTTATTTATTTTAGACAGAGAGAGAGCGTGGGTGAGCAGAGGGAGGGGCAGCGGAAGAGGGAGAGAGAGAATCTCAAGCAGACTCCCTGCTGAGTGTGGAGCCCGACCTGGGATTTGATCTCAAAATCCTGAGATCATGACTTGAGACCAAACCAAGAGTAGGATGCTTAACCAACTGAGTCACCCGGGTGCCACTATAAGTAAGTTTTAAACAGGACTTCTGTCATATGAAACTCTGTGGTAGATTTATAAAGAACATTCTTTTCTTTTAGGCAAATCATTTGATTTGATATAATCAAGAGTCCTATGACTATCTTGGGAAATATTCATCATTACTAATAAGTTGTAGATTCTTTTCTAAATAAGCCAACTGAGATTCTCTTTTAAACTTACGGCAATAGAAGAAGGAGATACTGACTTTAAATTCCTTGAAAATTGACTCATTAATATTTACTTCTGCCAACTTCAAAGTGATTTATAAGCTATTTATCAAGCTTCGATAACCAGTTCACACATCAATGAATTTAACAAATTCAAAATAAATTACTGGAGAGCCAGAAAATAATGACTTTGTCACATTCCCAAAGCAATTTGTGAGATCTAGGACTTCCAAGTCTAGTCCTCAGTAAATACATATTTTCACTTTAAGAAATCCATAGAGGTACTGCTGTGTCATGTTTCCGTTGGATGAGTTTCAACTGGAAAGAAAAATGTTCTCAGTTTCCTGAGACTATCGTAAGTATCTTCTATTTAATAAGCCATTAGAGAAACAGAACCTAATTTACAATAGAGTATTTTCATTTTATAATTATTCCGGGGCTTAAGGCAATACTTAATTTAATAAAACATTAACAGCAAAGTGTAGATATTAAAACCACTGGCTCTGCTGTCCGACTGGATTTCACATCTGCTCTACCACTTACTAGCTGTGAGTTGGTGCATTTGATTACTCATCTCTCTCTGCTTTAGTTTCCTCTTCGGTGAAATGGAACAATAATACCTACATCATGGAGTTCTTGTTAGAATAAAATGAGCTTTCACACTTAGATGAGTGTCTTGTACATGGTGAATGTTTGAATCCTACTAATTATCATCACGTTGTATTATTTATGGATACTTTGTTGGTTTCTCTGATGTTGTAAATGCTCCTAAAGCAAACACGCCTTTCCTAATGTGGTATAGAGTTAAAAAAAAATTTTAATGGTCATTTAATGTAAGCAAATGATTGTAAAGATTTTCCTTGAATGAGAAAAAACCTTGGAATTTTCAGAAAACATTATGCAACTCCATAAGGTGTTTTAATATTAATGGCTATTAATTAATAATTAACAGATATAGGAAGTCATTTAATGACTGAATGATTTGTTAGGGAATCATTTATTTATTTTGTAAATAAAGTTAATTTTTTTGCTATTCATTATATTTAACATATTATTAACATAATTTAATACTTTAACTTATTCAAAGAACCTAGGACCTGTGTTAATTTCAGTGTTTCAGCATCTTCTAAATGGAACAGATATTACTAAGAAACTCAGCTGAACATTGATTCTGTACAATTTTAGAAACAAATTTTTTTAAGCTTTATTTGCATATAATTGACAAAAAAATTTTTTATTTAAATATCTGGTAGAATTCACCAGTGAAATTTGGTCCTGGGCTTTTCTTTGTTGAGAGGTGGGTTTTGTTGTTGTTGTTGTTTTACTGATTCAATCTCCTTACTCATTATTTGTTCAGACTTTCTATTTTTTCATGATTTAGTTTTGGTAGGTTCTATGTTTCCAGGAATTTAACCATTTATTCTAGGTTATCCAGTGTGCTGGCATAAAGTTGTTCTTAGCAGTCTCTATGATTCTTTATATTTCTGTGATGTCAGTTGTAAACTGTGTCTCTTTTTTCACTTATAATTTTATTTTATTTTATTTTTTTAAAGATTTTATTTATTTATTTGAGAAAGAAAGAATGAGACAGAGAGAGCGTGAGAGGGGGGAGGGTCAGAGGGAGAAGCAGACTCCCTGCCGAGCAGAGAGCCCGATGCAGGACTCCATCCCGGGACTCCAGGATCATGACCTGAGCCGAAGGCAGTCGCTTAACCAACTGAGCCACCCAGGGGCCCTCACTTATAATTTTATTATTTGAGTCTTCTCTATTTTTTTCTCAGTCTAGCCACTTTTTTATCCTTTCAAAAACCAGCTCTACATTTCATTGATACTTTCTATTGTTTATCTAGTTTCCATTTCATTTATTTCTGCTCTGATCTTTGCTATGTCTTTTCTTCTGGTAACTTTGGGCTTAGTTTGTTCTTTTTTCCCCCTAGGTAAATGTGTAAAGTTAGGTTGTTTATTTGTGAGTTTTTTCCCCTTCCTGTAGGTGTTCATCACTATAAACTTCCAGCCAGCCCTGCTTTTGCTGGATCTCATAAATTTTGGTATGCTCTGTTTTCACAGCTGGGAGTTGGGGTTTCTCTCCGGATTGAATGGCGCTTTGCTGAGGGTGGGATTTACGGCAAGTGTGTATCTCAGTCCTTCCTGCCCATTGCAGGGTAGGGGTTTTCTCATCCACCCAGGGTGTTCAGCTAGTTTGTAGATTTCTTTCAGAGGAAATTTCTCTATGGGTAGTTGTATGTTTTGTCCATTTGGTGCATCTGTGGGTGGAGAGAAATTCAGAGCCTCCTATGTTACCATCTTGGGAATTACTACCACAAAAAAAATTTTTTTAAGTCTGTAATGGGTTTAGAAACATAATTTCCAACAGTAAAAGTCCTAATTTGTATTTTTAAATAGATAATCAGTTTTTCACATCTCTTACCTATGCACTATTAGTAGAGATTCAGCTGGTTGCATTCAAATTACTTTAGAATAGCTATTCACTTCAATTTTAATACCTATCAAAATTGAGTTTAAGGTGAATCGTACACACTGGTGCACTCTAATTAAACTCTGTTGTGGAGATAACTATACCTCATCACTTCCTCTCTACATATTCACATTTATCTACATCTCAAAATGAAACCATAATAAATTAATCATGTGTTTTTAAGTATCTTGATGATATTCTTCTATATAAATTGAAAAGGAAAATTAAAATAGTAGCCGGGATTAATTCTGGTAAGGCACTAATTTGGTTCTATTTTTTCTAATGTGGTATAGAGTTGCTTAAAAATCATTGTGTTATATGATTTTGTATAATAAGGATTGTAGGACAAATAAGGTTGAGGCAACACATTACTCTCTGAAGGGTGCATCCTTGAAATGGTTTCCAGTGGGAATGGTGGGAGGAATGTACACTCCAAGGACACAGGAGAGAGTTAGGAGCCTCTGATTGCCTGGGTCCAGCTCACATGTCCACTGGCAGTCACTTCCTCTTGGGGACAACCTCCAACAGTTCCACAAGAAACAAAAAGCCAAGAAGGCATTATGTCTGAAGCAAACTTTTTTTTTTTTAACAAGCTTTCATTCATGTACATTTTTGTATTTGGCTGCCACAGAATAAAAGACTATGACCAAAGGTTATAAATCAACGACCTATAGACCAATTTTTTTGGTAGCTGGACAAGACTTCATTGAAAATGTATTCATAATATATTTAAAGCTATCATTTTAACCTTTGCCTAATTTTTATTTAATTTATGTGGAGGGCTAATGTTTAACTTAGGATTAGTAGATGCTTCCACTGGACTTGTTCTTCTGAGAAGTAAAGCTGGAGCTCCACATGAGAGAGACAAGGGAGAGTCTTAAGAATTCAACTCGTCACAATCGAAGGGGAAAGATACAAGTTTCTAGGGTAAAAGACATCTCAGAAAGAATCTAAGTGGGCCAACCGAAAGTAGAAAAATCTATAAGCTCATAAGAAAAAGAGATTCATTAGACCATGAGAGGCTAGTCCAAGTCATCATCTTATACAGAAGTCACTTCAAAATATTTTCACCTGCTTAATTCTGCACACGAGGTAGTGAGAGGGAGCTTGCCGTTGCGGAATGGCAGCCGGAGTATGTAGCCATAATTAGTGGGTTCTCCTCCCAGTGCTGGGACCATTGAGTTCTTTCCAGCTGTGGAATGAGGCAAAAAAATGTTCTGACTAGAGGTAATTCAAAGGTTCTATTGTCCAGTGATTTCCTACTCAAATAAATACAATATATCGAGATATTTCTATAACATGGTCAGCCTCTACTGTTAAGAATTTTCTTCACATGCTTGATTAGATCTGAATCCTTCATCTTTTGGCTATTGCCCCCTGGTGCTTGTGGATCGTGGGGGAAAGGGAGGTCCAATTTGGCCCTTTGAGAATGTCTGTAGAGCTTGAAATGATTTTCAGTAGTGAGGGCTAATCATAACCCACGTACCTCATACGAGGTAAGCCTATTTTTTTTTAAGGAATACATTAGATAAGAAGCTTGCATAATTTAATTATAGATATTTCCTAAGACTTTGAAAATGTGGCATGATTAATTTGGGATTTTATCTTTCTGGGAAAGATTATAGTATGAATTACTTGAGAATAAGTACCGATAACCATGATTGTTTATTTGTACTTAATTTCCTAAGAGAGGAATAATTATTAAATGTCTTGTGAAGATCTGAAGATCTATAAAGGAAAATCTGGACAAAGATCTCCTGGAACAATGGCCTATCATGTTTTTAAATGGTTCTAGTTGTTTGACAATTCATCCTTACAGTGAATGAATAGTTGCATCCTCAATTGCCACGCATGGTACTCTAGATTGTAATGCTCTGAAGATAGGGACTAAGTCTTGGCCATCTTCAACTTCAGATATTTGAAGGCTATTATTTTGCCTGCTTTCCTGACATCTTTTCAGACTATTCACTCCTGTTTTATTCAATTCTTCTTTATAGACATTTTTGTTAGGATCACTATTTATTTATTTATTTATTTATTTATTTATTATTATTATTTTTTGTGGTGCAAAATGGTGGTTTATTAAAGCATGGGTCCTGTCCCCTTGTTGGGGCAAGTAAGGAAAAGGGAGGTTTCAAAGGAACTTTCATATGGTAAAGAGGACTGACATACAAGATACCAGAGCCATTGTCAAGATTGTTTCTCCCCCAGCAAGGTATTAACATTAGAACAGTTGGGAGATTCCTGGAAGAATGTCACACAGGTCCCACCCAGAGCGGGGAGTGGGGTGGGGTGGGAGAGGTCATGCATATTATGCTTTGTCTTCAGCTAGCCGCTTCTGCTCCCTCATCATTCCTCCCTGAGCAATTTTGACCCTTAAATCTAAGGTTGTTGAAGGCATAAGATCTCATTTTCTGTAATGTCCTCCTGCTGAATAGGGGCGTAGAGATGTCCCTAGCTAGGGGAGTTACGAAAGGGGAGGCAGCTGAATCTAAGGCTGACAGGAAGTCAGGAAGTATCTCTGTGGGTGGTAAGAATCATCTGTTGATGTGAAGTCATCGTAGGGACGGAGTCTCGCACTAAGTGGAGAGATACTTGTGGGGAAATCTGGAGTGGGTGGTGTTAGGTCCAGGGGGTGCTCTTCTTGATGGGGTTTTGGAATATAGGTGAAATTCAGTGGGGTGAGGTCTGGAGCCAACGACCAAGAATTCTAGAGACATCTTTGGTGCAAAGGATGGTTTATAGGATCTCTATTTTAACTACACAGCTCTGTCTGGCTCTTCTGGAGAACTTGCTGACTCAGGAGGGAGTTGGCCAGACTGGAGGAAGCCTGGGGGTTGACAACTGGTGGATACTGGGCATGGATCTTTTTATTCCCTCCCTATCACAGCCAAGTGCTCCTCCTTCCTCAGGGATCTGCCATCTGGAAGATTCCTGCTTGTGGTCTCAGGTCTTGCCAAATGCTTTTTTTTTTTTTTTTTTTTTGAAAATAAGCAATGGAAGGACAGTTTTCAGAACCTTTAATTTCCTCATTCAATTTTTGTGTGACATATGCATTTGCTTTGTCAAGTTATTGATGTTTCTCTGAGCTAACAGAGCTCTTATCTCAGTAACATGAGCTTTTGTTTCCTGGGACTATGAGGGTTTTAATAATACCCAGTGATTCTTTTTAATTTTCCTGAAGTATTTTTGATTGAATTTTATAAGTGGGTAGCTGTTCAGATGCATCACTCATGTTTTTGGCTGGTTTGGAGTGATTCTCCTCTAAACCTTAAATGGAATAAATTCTCTTTAAATTGGATGCTCCATGCGCAAAACTTTGTTTCCTTTTCTTGATTAAGCTCAAGAAGGATATGATACTTCTGTTGCAATTTTTGTCTCTCCCTTTCTACTTGGGTGTTTTCTGAATGCAGCAAAGCTTTCTTGTTTGGAGATTTTTCAAATGACTTTAAGTGATTTTTGCATTGAGAATTCTAGCTTCTGCAGTTACTTTGTGTACATTTACTTTCTCATCTTTGAAAGTATGTAAACTGATACTTAACTCAGTCATATAAATCAGCAATCCTTTGGCTTCACCAATTAAGAAACCTTCATTTTCCGATGCCTTCCTTATATCCAATTTCATGTTCGCATAAACTGTGCCGTCTTCCCCAAAAACAGCAGTCTGACTATTCATCTGTAGCAAGTGTTCACCTAGAGGCTTGATCTGACTCTTTCTTTTAATAAGAACTTTTTAATAAGATTCACTCCATGGGCAGAGTTTTATGAGATTATTTTTTCTCTTTAGTAAAATTGTCCACTCTGTACTTCCATTTTTGAGATTCTTATGAAAGCAAGTTTATGCTTCTCTGAAGATTAGAATTTACCTCCAAAGTCCTCATTAGTGCTGTCTGAAGCTTTTCTCCATTGTTTGGCTGGATTTTGAAGGCTGTTTTAGTTGCAGCTTTGTTGGATTTACTTTGATGCTTCTTCTAAGAAGTTAACTTTGTTTATAATGTCAACCATCATCTGAACTTGTAAACATTTAGATTTTTCTCTTTTCCATGCTTCCTATAAGTACCTGGTTTAAGCTCAAGTAAAGAGTGGTAGTTTTCTAGCTCTTTATTCATGATCTTCATATTTATTATGTCTTATAGGAAGTTTTAAAGCTTGCTTCCAGTATAGTTGATTCAAGGTTTCCGAACTCTCTTACAAAGTGGTACAAATTCGCAAACAATTTGGTATTTTTACTCTAGAGGGACAGACACTGCAGTGGCCTGTTCTTTGTCTCTGCTTGCATAATAACAAAGGGATTTAGACACAAAAAGAATCCATTCTGACTATAAAAACTTCCACTTCTCACAGTATTCCCTAGGTTGCTGGACCCCCACTGCTGGGCCCGGAGCCTCCAGGATCAGCATGACACAGAGCATCATGGCCATCAGTGGAACTTCTCTGGACCCCAAGGCCACTGATGGCTCACCTCAGGTTGCCATGACTCTGTGGCCACACAGACCACCCAGCCCTGCATTGAGAGTTCTACCCAGAATGTCCCTGGTGCCTAAAAGCCAGGGCAGACCTCAGCAGAGGGGGTAGAAGTGACAAGAAAAGAGTGTCTGCCGCCTTTTGCCACCTCTTCACCCACAAAGTCAGTGGTCATATCGCACGGCCCTGGGGGTGTGGACTAGGCTCCGTAGGCCAAAGTGG